CGCAGGGAGGCCGGCAGGGCAGGAGCCAGCGCGTCAGCCCGCACGCTGGGGTGGGGGTGACGGAGCGGGAGAAAGCAGGCCGAGGCCTGACCAGCCATTTCTGTACAGCCCTAGCAGACACAGGCCTAGCTGTGCTGACCCCTGGTCTGGTGCATGGCTGCCCTGCGTGTGGGCAGAGGCGGGAGGTCTGGGGTGTCATGATGTGCCCGCCGTCCCGCTGAGCGATGTCACGGGTGGACACACTTCCACAATGACCTGTGGGCAGTCTGTGTCCATGTCTCTACAATGTGGGCCTCCGGACACGGGATTTCCGTGTGGGCTGGCCTCGCAGCACAGGGCCTTACCACTGCACCACCGCCTGGCCCCGGCTTCGTGTCTAGCCCATGTTAGCACGTGCCTGGGGTGCAGCCTGTCACGTGGCTGCCCAAGCTCACGGGCAGAGTGGGGAGTAGAGCTGCATGGGGGTGGGGTGGGGTGCCCTGACTGCTCACTGGCCGCAGGGGTGTCCTTCCATTCTCACCCACCGACCTCCACGTTACACAGAGTTCCCGGTGCCAGGCAGCAGCTGCAGGTGGCACTGTGGAGCCCTGTGGAGCCGTGTTCCCCGTGCTGAGCTGCGTCTGCTCCTTGCCCACGTGTGGCGAGCTAGTGGGCAGAAGTTCGTAGCTGGGCACTTTCTAGCCCTCGCCCGCCATGATCGCTGGGGGTGGCCTTTTGCTGGCCGGTGTGCAGGGTGGGGTGGGGTGGTGCCGGGGAACCCTCCCATCCCCCAGCTCCCCTAGGAGCACAGGTGCTAGGCCCACAGGGTCCCTCCAGTTGTCTTAGAGGTGACACTGCCGGTGTCAGCAGTGGGCGCGGAGGCAGGCTGTGGACCCAAGTGCACCTGGGGGTGCCGCCCGACAGCGCCAATAGCGGTCAAGAGTGGGCCAGGGAGGGGCTGGCTTCCCAACACAGGGCCTCCCGCACCGCACCTGGCCCTCGTCTGATGCCGTCGTACCCAGGAGGGTTCTCTGCTGTCCTGTCACCCAGGCTTTCCCACGGGCCCCTCACCAGCCGGGAGGAGCCCCTCCGGGAATTCGCACCAGGCTAGGGGGGTGTGGGCCTTTGGGACACACTAGGGGTTGTCTGTTCCCACGGCCACCAAGCCAAGGACAGGCCACTGCACCAGGGAGCCAGCTGCTCGTGTGACTACGGCTCCCCACCCCATGACTTGCAGACTGCAGGAGGGACTGTCCCTCCACAGAGGGCTCCCCGCCACCTCCCACAGGCCCCATTAGCAGTGACTTCTACTGCCATAACCCCCAACAAAAGCAGGCCCCTTCCAGGAGCCTCTGGCATCAGACAGGGGCGGGTCTCTGGCTCAGCCAGGGCCTCGGCCCCACGTGGTGAGGCCGAGCCCTCAGGGCCGTGGGGGTGCCCATCACAATGGGCACTTGGCCCCAGACCCAGTGGCTGTCCTCGTCACCTTGGAGACGAGAGTGCTGGGAGGCGAGCATTCATGGGACGACCAGTGAGGCGTGGCCCTGGCCCCTTTTATTAGCACTGCTCTGATGACGGTTCTCCAGTCCCGCGGTTTCTCCCGCGCTCTGGGCTCACATGCCAGGCTGGCGGCCACCACCCGCCCTTCACCCTCCAGAGCAGGACGCCGCGTGGTGAGGCACGTTCTCTGTCCGACGCCACCTTCCAGGTGCCTGGACAGTCGGCTAGTGGCAGCTGGGGCCGCCCAAACAGGACATGTGCTGAGCACAGAGCCACCCTCAGGGCACAGCCAGGGCACCCGGGGAGGCGTGGTGAGAGCCCAGGAGGGAGGCGACAGTGGACACTGGAGTAGGGCGCACGCCCGCGGGCTGGAACGCGGCCCCGGTGTGATCAAGACCAGCGGACGAGGAACGGCTCTCCCACTGACAGCGAGACCGGAATGTCCAGGACCTGCGGGAGCGAGAGCGCTGAGGGCTGGCCCTCCTGACGGCAGCGAGACCGCGCAGGCTGGGGCCTGGGGCATGCCACGGGGATGCCGCCTGGTGCCCCCAGCCCGTCCCACCCTGGGGGGTGGGGCCCTGCTCCCCCCAGGCCTCTTGCCTCGGTGTCGGGGCTGTAGGTGAAGTCGGAGACGGGGACACCATTGGACAGGACCTGCTGTGGGGCAGTGGCCACCCCCAGGACGGCCACCTTCCTCAGCTGCAGGCTGGCCCCCTCCTCGGACACGTGCACCAGCTCACTCACGACGGTGTTCTGGCCGAGCCCAGATGGAAAGAGACGATGCAGATGTCAGCGGACAGCTCGGGAGCGAGCCCCTTCAGTGTGGGATCACACCGGAGGGGTGGCCTCCCACGTGGCCCCCAGGACCAATGCCAGCCCACCTGGCTCTGTGCCCCGCCCAGGCACGGCGGCCATCAGGGACCAGCCCACTCCCCTGGCTGGACGCAGGCAGTCTCAGGACTCACGTTGCTGGCCAGGAAGACGACTTCAGTGTAGGCCCCACGTTCCAGCACGTCCAGGCTCTCGCCGTCGTCCCAGAACAGCTCCCCACGGGCCTCGCCACTCTCGGTCAGGGCCACCACCAAGCCCATCGGCTGCTTGCGGGACTCTGTGGTGGTGAGGCCAGGGCCCTACAAGAGGGGGTCGCATGTCACAGTCTCACTCTCCAGACCCAGGGCAGGGGGACACCAGGCAGGGCCAGTCTGGGCTGTAAGAGACACTGGGCCATTTGCAGGGTAGCCATGGCCCAGTGGGCTGAGCACCACAGTGACCACTCCAGCCACAGCAGTCGGACTCGGGTCCCTCCCACATAAATCCCACGTCCACTGGGAGGCCTAGACGCGGGCCTGCCCAGTACTGCCTACTGTGCTCCGTGCCTGGGGGGCTGCGTCCCCTCCCTCAGTGGCCTGGCTGGCTCCTCGGTCTCCCTCCACCTGGATGGCACCCCAAGCCCTTCTCTCCCAGTCCACGTCTCCTGGCTCTGCAGGGTGTCCACAGCCCACTGCAGATGCCTGGCCTGGTACCTGCAGGGGCACGATGCACCCAGCTCGGAGGTGGAGGTTGATGGTGTCCAGGGGGGCCAACAGCGTCATCCACTGCCCCTCACTGTGGATGGGGGCCCTGAGAGGTGCTGGAGGTGTGAGTGGGAGGCTGCCAAGGGCCTCTACTGGCACCTGGAGGGAGATGTCGTGGTGAGGAGGAGCCAGGAGGAGTCAGAGCTCCCGTCCCCCAGGGGCCCATGTGGAAGCCCAGGAGGCTCACAGAGACAGCAGGCAGTGACCTCAGGACAGACCCCGGGCTCACCGAGGGCTGGCCACTGGTGAGGACAGAGCCCGAGAGCCTGGGCCCAGTGTCTGGGGCGGCGGGTCAGAGAGCACTGAGGGCGGCAGGGCCGTGCAGTGGGCAGAGGGAGGCCTGGCTCAGCTCAGCTCAGCCCCAGCCACAGGGCCAGCCAGGTGACCGCTCAGGCACGGGTCACTGGGAGGAGCTGGGGCCATGACGTGCCCAGCACACTCAGGCCAGGGCCCGGAGGCAGATGCTCCTTTCACCGTCCGGTCCCACACGGGCAAGGCAGGGCTGCCTGGTCTAGCCCGGGACTCACCGTCTGCAGGTCATACCACGTGCCCGCGGGGAAGTAGCCAGTCACGTTGGTCTTCCCCGCCTCGAGCACTGGGGTGATGAGCAGCGCCGCCCCCCACAGCAGCTGGCGGTCCACGGTCCAGGTGCGCTGGTCCTCAGGGAACCTTCAGACAGGAGGCACAGGTGGTGGGCCTGCACTGGTCCCTCTGTGGTGGCGTGCTCTCCCGCAGGATGCTCAGAGAGAAGCCGAGTCCCCATCTCCGGGGTGAGACAGCACAGGGCTGGTTCCCTGCCTGACGTCAGCCCCGGGCCTCAGGACAAGCCCCCTGCGGTGCCCAGGATGGCGCTGGGGCTCACGCGGCTCTCCCCTGTACTGTTTACTTGTTCCCTGATTGTCAACTTCCGTGCTCACCATTCAAGTATGTGGAAAGTGCAAAACGAATCAATAATCAGGAAAAATGTCCTAGGACCCCATAACCAAAGGCCACTGTTCACAGTCCCTGAAACACTTCTGCCCTTTGATTCTTGGAGATAGCCCTGTTGGTGCACCTGTGGCTGCTCCGTTTTCTACCTCTGGGTATGCGGGAAGGTCCAGCTCGGTGAGACCTCCGTACGCCTTTCCAGAGGACTCCGTTTGTAAGCGGGCCGTGGGGCGCCGAGAGCACTGCAGGCGGGCTGCCACTCTCCACGGTGCAATCCCGGCTCCCGCCAGGCGTAAGGTGTATCTCACTGCATTCTCCCCGGCACAGGTTATTCTCGTTTTCTCTAATACAATCTCATGGCAAGGTAATGGCATCTTTCTGTTCCCAAGTACGTTTCTTGGAGTGACGTTAGTAAAAACGGTACAACAGAGACCTCTGCAAACCCTCTCCTCCTTTAAAGCATTAAGAACACAGGAAAAAACAGAATCACACTTTCTAGGACCCTGGAAATTAACCAAAGGCTTGCAACAATCTGGGAAAACTGGCTGAATCACGGTTAAGAACGGCAAGGACGCTTAGCCTAGCTGAGCGCGGAAGACGCGCCTGACACTGACGGAGAGCCGCCTGGCGAAGGCTCCGAGTCCTGCTGCCAGGGATCTAGGAGTCTTCCTGTTCAGTTATTGGCCGCCCGCTAAGTCAACCAGAGAACACAGACTGAGAAAATCAGTTCAGGAAAGTCACGAATCCAGCAGCCAACAACAGCAACGGAGCCTGGAGGACGATGCTCATGGGGAAGGCGGGTCTGACTGCCTCCAGAAAACGTCCAGCCTCGAACAAGCAGCGAAGAGACATGCAGACAAACAGGAAGTGTGTCCCACTCGGGGGCGACAGCGTAGCTAAGATGGCTCACAAACTCCCGGGGAAAAAGCAGTTACCAGATGCTGGCCCCGAGGACGCCGCTGGCCCCGAGGACGCCGCTGCTGGATGTACTCGATGGAGACTTAACTTTAAACATGTTCAAAGAACGAAGGGACAATAACGGGACTCACCAGATGGGCTACCCATAAAGACGGAAATTTTGAAATGAACGAAACAGAGATTCTGGCGCTGCAACGAAGCAAGGGCTCACTGAGCGGGCCCGACAGTAGAGCAGGCGAGGGGGTCAGCGAGTCTGGCACGAGCTGGTCTGAGCGACGAGAAACGGCGAAGGGAGAACGAAGAGTGCCTCGGAGACCGGCAGGACGCCGTCAGCACACCGCACACAGGCAACGAGCGCCCCAGGGACCGGGGAGAAATGGGCAAGAAACATATTTCAAGCAATAATGGCTGGGTGGCCCGGCGAGTAAGAAGCTGGACCCTCACATGGCTGACTATGGCTCGAGTCCTGGGCCCGGTGGCTTGAAAATCACACTGGGCTTGTGTTCGCGTGTGCCCAAAATCCCAGGAGAAGAGGGAAAGGGACTGCAGCGTGGCCAGCCCTCCCAGGGGATGATTTCTTACTTTCTCTGGTGAGTGCACACGCTCTGTGGCAAAACCGAAAAAACTTCCCAAGTCGGATGAAGAGCAGTGTGCACACCGAAGCTGGGCCAGCCCCAAGCAGGATAAACTTGGATCGAGACACATCGTACCGAGCTCTGAGAGCCAAAGGCAGGCCATCTTGAAAATAGCAAAGGGGAAGCTATTCGTCAGACACCGGGGATGCCGGAGGCAGTCGGTGAGATACTCAGGCTGGTAACGGAAACTGCCGACCCAGGTTTCTGTACCGAGCTAAACTATCTGGTGTCGGAGAAAGTACAACTCCCAGATAAACACAAACTGAGAGACGTCCACTGGCAGACTGCCCTGCAAGGTCACTCAAGGATGTCCTTCTGGTCGGAGAGGTACTCGGGCCCACCCAGAGACACAGACCCTGGCGAAGAGGACCGCCTAGGTCGACAGGAGGCGGTGTAAGCGCCCGTTCTTCCGTGACCCGTTCCTCCTCCGACTTCAAGGACAACCACGAAGGGCAGTCCCGCAGTCCATGCTCGCGGACAAAGGAGCGGTCTGTGAGCAGTCACAGCCTGAAGCGGGAGAGCACCGGGCGCCACAGAAGCAAAGCGTTTCACACCCCCGAGGCTGAGCGGGTGGCACTTCCAACCAGGCTGCGATGACTTGTCAACTGCAGCCCCAGGGCAACCCCTGAGAACTATAACAGATCACAGTAAGGCGTGACAGGGAACTAAGGTGGGACACAAATGACATCTCGGGTTTCTTGGTGAGGAGTCGGGGCCTCCATCCACAGCAGGTCTTGCGAATTTGTCCCTGCCTAGCTGTTTCCTAACTTTGGTCTCCCCGACACGGTGTGAGTCCCGAATGGTGCAGTGACTATCGTTTGGGGACAACGTCTGCTCTAGTGTCCCACTCCAGGGGACTGGAGCGGAGTTTCAGCATTCTGTTTACATGCAGATTAGTTTTTTCCTTCTGTTTGTGTTCAGAGAAGCTCTACTCTTTTCTGAATTACCCTCCATCCCTCTCTCGTTTCAATGCTCTGAAAGCCATCTCCTGCCAGGACACGACACATGGTCCCCTTTCTTCTTGTGGGATTTTCCATGGCTTAATTTTTGACGTTTAACAATTTAACTTACACTTGTATGGTGTGAGGGGAAAATAGATGAATTTCTGGAAAGAGCTGGTGAATGACCTTACGGCCTGAAACATCTTAGCTCACTGACTTGAGACGCCGTCCTTATCCCTCGGCGCATCTACCTATACGCAGTCCGGGGTGGGGTGGCTGTTGTTTCCTTTGCTGTCCTTCCCCTAAGCTGGTCGCGAGCTGACCAAATCACGATAGTTTTACCACTCGCCTGACCATCTGGTAGGCCTGCTTTTTATCCTGGGTCTTTCCGCACCCTGAATGCTCCATGCCTGCGCTGGCTCCAAAGGGCAGATGCCGGGAGGGCCGGGAGTGCAGGGAAGGGCTGGGCTTGGACCTCATCTCACTCAGGGTAACCCGCTGGGCCCTGACAACGGCCTACAGCAGGGGGTGGCTTCCCAGGGCCGGCAGGCTGGTGTCAGACCCTCCCCATGGCACCCGGGCCAAAGTCACTCACTCCAGGAAGAGGGGCCGGGCCACGGTCTCGCCGTTGTTGTGGGCCCTGTGGAACAGCGTGTAGAGGAAGGGCAGCAGCGTGTAGCGCAGGGCGAAGGCCTTCCTCATGGCCTGCTGTGCCGGCTCACTGAATCTGTACGGCTCCTGGGGCTGCGTGGGGAGCAGAGAGCCAGAGAGTCTCCACCCAGCTGGGCCAGGTGGAGACGGCCTGGCCCCTACCAGGCCGTGCGGGTTGCTGCAGTGGGAGTCCCAGTGTCCCTACCAGGCCGTGCAGGTGGCTGTGCTGGGAATCCTCGTGTCCCTTCCAGGCCATGCAGGTGGCTGTGGTGGGGTCCCCGCTCCCTACCAGGCCGTGCGGGTGGCTGTGGTGGGGTCCCCGCTCCCTACCAGGCCGTGCGGGTGGCTGTGGTGGGGTCCCCGCTCCCTACCAGGCCGTGCGGGTGGCTGTGGTGGGGTCCCCGAGCCCCCGGTCCCTACCAGGCCGTGCGGGTGGCTGTGGTGGGGTCCCCGCTCCCTACCAGGCTGTGCAGGTCATTGTGGTTCCGCATGAAGGGGTAGAAGGCCCCCAGCTGCGTCCAGCGCACGCACAGCTCCTCCGACGTGTTGCCCTGGAAGCCACAGATGTCCGCCCCGACCAGGGGCACCCCAAGCAGGTTGAACTGCAGGATTTCTGGGAGGGCGTGGTCAGATGGGTTCATGTTATGAGAGCTGGTACAGGCGAAGGAGCCCGACGGCTCTGCCTGAACGGGCAGGAGGTGAGGACCCGCCAGCCCCCTCACGGCATCAGGACCAGGGTGGCCCTTCCACTCATGGTCAGCAGTAATGAGTGGCCCCTGCCATGTGCACCACTGCCTAACACCATGATGGCCACAGCACACTAAACCCCAGGACAGCTGAATGTGTTCTCCCGCAAGACACTCCCGTCCTCACTCCTGGGACTCGTGAACGAGACTGATTTGGAATAGAGACTTGGGCTCTGGGATTGAGGTGAGGCGGGTCATCAGTGTGAGCCCTAAGCCGCCTGGGTCTTCCCAGAGGAAAGCTCCACGTAGACAGACAGAGACGTGAGAGGGCAGAGGCAGGGACTGCAGCGAGGCGGCCGTGAGCCCGGGATGCCACAACCACAGCACCCACCAGAAGCTGCGAGAGTCAAGGATGGTTCTACCCAGACTCTCGGAGGAAGCAGCCCTGCAGACAACGGGGCTCAGACCTCGAGTCCCCAGACTGTGAAGACACTGGCTCAGGAGGGCACTCGTTTGTGCTGCTTTGTTATGGAAGCCACAAGGAAAGCAGAGGCAGGGTCGCTCGGGACTAAGCTGCCACAGTTGGGCTGTCCTGTACAGGTGAGCCGTCCTGCACAGGTGAGCAGTCTGCACAGGTAAGCTGATCTGCACAGGTGAGATGGCCTGCACAGGTGACCCGTCCTGCACAGGTGACCCGTCCTGCACAGGTGACCCGTCCTGCACAGCCCCGTCCGCCACAGGTGCCCCGTCCTGCACAGCTGAGCCGTCCTGCACAGCTGAGCAGTCTGCACAGGTGAGCTGATCTGCAGAGGTGAGCAGTCTGCACAGGTGAGCTGATCTGCACAGGTGAGCTGATCTGAACAGGTGAGCCGCCTGCACAGGTGAGTGGCCTACACAGGTGAGCCAATCTGCATAGGTGAGCTGCCTGCACAAGTGAGTGGCCTACACAGGTGAGCCAATCTGCACAGGTGAGCCACCTGCACAGGTGAGATGGCCTGCACAGGTAAGCCGATATGCATAGGTGAGCCGCCTGGACAGGTGAGCCGGCCTGCACAGGTGAGCCGGCCTGCACAGGTGAGCTGACCTGCACAGGTGAGCTGCCAGCAGGCCTCACATCCCATGTGACTTGGCCGTAGGCCCCCACACCGTTGCAGTGGCATGAGAGCTTTGCTGTGCCCAGAACCCAGCTCTGGGGCACACCTCCTAGAGGTGCCCACCTTCCCCTCTGAGCAGCTCCTTCCTGACAGGTGCTCTCACCTGGTACAGAGTAGGAAAGTTGCTCCCAGCTGCTCCGCACGTCCCCTGTCCAGTGGCCGGCATATCGGCCATGGCCAGAAAAGGTTGAACGGGAGATCACAAAGGGGCGTGTCCCCCGAGTCTTCACCAGGGCCCTGGGTGGAGCGGGGGCAGTGACGGCTGTGTGAAGTGGGACTCCCTGGAACCCCTCATTACTCGCCAGAGAGGAGTGCCCGGCAGTGGCGGTAAGAGGGCAGACTGGGGGCCAGCAGCTGTCCAGGAGAGTGCCGGGGAGGAAGGGGAAGCCACTGCCCACAGCTGCTGGGCAGTCAGTGTGTCCTGGCCACCCCACCAGGCAGGAGGATGAATGTGTCCCGCATCTGGGCTGGGGTGTGGGGAGGAGGCATTGCAGGACCGCTCACGCTGCTGGCCAGCCCCTGGGCAGTTGGGCTCCTTCCTCTCCTCCTGGGTATGGGGCCCACTGGCCACCCCCACCCTCCTCCCAGCAGCCCCGAGCACAGGATACAGGGCCAGGCATAGCTGAGGGGGCGGGGCTCACCTCTGGGAGGCGAAGGCTTCCGTGAGGCCATAGAGGTTGTGCAGGTTGTAGTGTGTGAGGAGGAACTGGCGGGCGGGGGGGTGCCTGCAGGGTCCCCCCGACCACCCCTGGGAGAGAGGGGCTGGTTTCCACGGTGGGCTCCATGGTGTCCCCCATATGCCAGAGCCCCTGCACATGTCACCCTCCCCAGATCTAGCCTGTGGGGAGCACACTGAAATCATTCCAGATGCCCCATCACTCCCAGCACACACCCTGCTCAAGGAAGCTGCCTGGGAACTTGGACACACCCCAGATGGCCCCCACTGTTCTCAGCTGCAGCAACGGGCAGGCCGAGCTGGACTCTGCAGACCCCTGGACTTTGTGTCACCTTCCCTGGGCCTCTCCTGTCTGCCTGAGCCTGAAGCCCCCACCCCTAGAGGTTGACACGGACCCTCTGTAGGCCAGATGGGCACCAGGCTTTGAACCCTCCCCTGGGCCCATCTGCAGCTCCCTTTGAGCAAACGGCCCTGCTGGGTTGGTTTAGCAAGACACCTGCACTGTCGGAATCCGATCCCCGTCACGTCTGAGTGGGTGCCTCGATCTCTGCTGTCCCTGGGTGATGCCTGCTCGCCCTGGCCTGTCTCCAGCAAGGGTCTGGAGTACCCCGCTTAAGTCCACCTGCTGACCCCCACCTGCTCCTGGCTGGCCATCCCCACCTGCCCATGGCTGCACTGGAGTTGAGCCCCCGCCCCCACCAGCTCTCCCCATGTGTGACCCTGCCGTGCAGTGCCTGTCTGCCCCAGTGCATGGCTGGCCCAGGACAAAGCTGCCTTCCCACGCTCTAACAGGCAGGATGAGGCTCCCTTCACGAGGGCTGTGCCGTGCGGGAGTCCGCGAGTGCCACTCGGCAGGCATCTCCCCAAGTCCTGTCCCTGGGCCCTCCTCCTACCCCAGGCTGGCTGCTGCCCATTCACTTCTCAGCTTCACGTCTCCCAAACTAGACAGGAGAGCTCCGATCTGAGCCCCCGGGGCCCAGCGGACCCGGCAGAGGCCTCACCTGGCAGGTAGGGTGGGTGCTCCAGGTCGGTGTCGGGGCAGCCGTCCTCAGAGCCCCTGACGAAGTTGGACGGCTCATTCATGTCCTGCAGAGAAGCCCGGAGGTGGCACCCTGGCCGGGGTGCGGGGAAGTGGGGCTGTCCCCGAAGGCCACACTTACAATCCACATGCCGTCGAAGGGCACCTGGGCGTGGAACTCGGCCACCATGTCCTGCCACCAGTCAACGGCCTCGGGGTTGGTGAAGTCGGGGAAGGCAGTGGACCCAGGCCACACCTGCACGGGAAGAGGCAGGGATAGGGGGTGGAGGACGCCACCCACCCGGAGCCCGCGCTGAGGCCCTGCTGCCCCAGCCTCGTTCCTGACCAACACCCAGTGGGAAAGCCTGTGTGCGGGGTTCAGAGGGTCAACAAGCAGTCTCTACCAGGAGGCCCTGATGTGGAGGCTCAGCCCTGGGATGGTGGGTGGAGGGGTCACAGAACCAGGGCGTCACAGGGACGGGCGCTGAGATGACTGCATCTACCCCCCTTCAGATAAGGGCTAGAAGCTCTGGAATTGAGTCTCACAGTCTGTCCCAGGGTCTTCCCTAACCTCTCTTTCAGCTGGGGCCTCCTCTGGTTCTAGGCCTGCTCTCAAGCAGGGTGGTTGAGACAGCTGAGAGCCCTGGGGGCGGCCCCGGAGCAGGAGGACAGGAGGACCCATGGCCTTGCAGAAGGTCTGGGAGTTCTTGCCAGGGATGGGCTGGAAGCCAAAGCCCCTGCCCCTGGGGGAAGAATGAGGAGGGACTTTGCCTGGGGCTCCAGGACCCCAGCTGGGATTTGCCTCCCCTGGCTCTGTCCATGTGGCACCTGAAACCTCTGCTTCTTCCTGGACAGCTGCCCTGTTCCCACTGGCAGAGCCCCCGCGTTCTAACCCTGACCCCCACTCTACCTTCCCGATGAGCGGCTGCCCGGTCTCGTTGGTGATGAAGACCCCCCTCCGCAGACCCTCGTCATAAGGCCTGTAGCTCCCAGCGGGGCCTGAGCTGCTGATGGCGGGGTCCTGGGGTGGGAGGAGTCAGCAGGGATGAGCGAAGCGGCTGAGGCTGGCACCAGCGCCAGGAAGGGTGGGTGCTCTGGGAAGGACGCTGAGGGGTAGGGCTGCACATGCCCAGCACACCCAAGCGTGGCCGTGCATATGCCTGCCCGGAGACGAGAGGGCAGGGCTGGTGGTCAAGGCTGGGCACGCTGCAGGGAGCCTTAGTTCAGGGCAGGGGTCCGGATTTCCACGAGCATGCAACTGGGACCTTTTACTTCTACTGTAAGAACAGTAATAAGGGAGACTAGGAGGTGGCATAATGGCTATGTCCCTGGACTCTCATGTAGCCAACTGCAGTTCAAGTACCAGACCTGGTGGCTTAAACTCAAGCTAGGCGCGTGTGCATGCGTGCCCAAGATCCCGAGAGGAGAATGGAGGAGAAAGGATTGCGGCGTGGCCATCCCCCCGGGGGGTGATTTCTCACTTTCTGTCTCTGTCTGTCTGGCGAGCATACGTGCCCTATAGCAAAAACCTCTCCACAAACAGGAATAGTAATCAAGGGAGGTGTGTGGTCCCCCCGCCTGCCCTGACTGCCCTTGCAAGCAAGGGAATGGGGTTCAATGCACACCTCCTGCCGCAGAGCCCCTACTCAAGGCGAGCTTAGAACCCGATCATCTGGCCTCCTCAATTCTCCCTCTCCCCACTAGGGTCAGGCCACGGGCTCCGGCTAGACCAGTCCCTGAGCCACAGGCTTCTAGCACAGGACTAGCCCGGGAGGGCCTGTCTCCATCTGAGCTGCTCAGATCCCGCCAAGGGCTTTCTCCAGACCTGATGGTCCCAGTGCCAGGGCTTGGCGCCGGAAGCCACCCTGAGGCATGCCCTCCTTCCCAGGAGAGCTGGGGCAGAGGCAGGGCTGGCACACACAGGGGACCTTCCTGCTGCCTGATGGTCCCAGTGCCAGGGCTTGGCGCTGGAAGCCACCCCGAGGCACGCCCTCCTTCCCGGGACAGCTGGGACAGAGGCAGGGCTGGCACACACGGGGCCTTCCTGCTGCCCATGTCCAGCCCCTCCCGCCCTTCAGTGCTCCTCTCGGTGACATCGGCTCACTAACCCCTTTTTGCTTCCCAGCTCCAGTGGCCTAAATCTAGAGTCCCGAGCGACAGACGGACGTTCCCAGGGACCCTGAGCCTGGCCCTCGAGGATGTCCTCGGGGACAAAGGCACAAGAGCGGCGCGGCCCAGAGCACAGCCCTGGGCCTGCAGCCCGTCCCGCGGCCCTGGACGCCACGCCGGGTGGGCACTCACCACGATCATCACGTACCGCCGGCCGCCGGCATGCAGTTCATGCACCAGGGCCGGGAAGTCCGCGAAGCCGTCCTTGTTGAACGTGAAGTCCCTCTTGGCGTCCATGTAGTCCAGGTCATTCCACTGCACGTCCTGTGGCCGCGGCACGGGGGGCACAGGGCCGGCGCTGGCCTGGGAGCTGCTGGCCCGGGAGACCCCCCCCCCCCGCAACTTACCAGGGGGAAGTGGGCCCTGGTCATGTTTTCCACCACCTGGCGGGTGATGGCAGTGGAGGAGTAGCCCCAGCGGCACAGGTGGAAGCCCAAGGCCCAGTATGGCGGCATGAATGGGTACCCTGCGGGCCGACGCGAACCGTCAGCGGGCAGGGTGAGGCGGGGCTGCAGACAGAAGGACCAACGCAGACAGAGGGCCAGGCCTACCCACGACATCCAGGTACTGCTGCACCACGCTCTTGGGCTCGGGGCCCAGGAAGACGTAGATGTCCAGGATCCCGCCTGTCGACCTCCAGCTGAGGGCTGGGGTGGGCTGCAGGACCACATCTGGGGGAGCAGTCTGGGGATTAGGGTCAGACACACTTGCAAGGGCCCTGGGCACCTACAGTCGGATGGCGAGGCTCTCCCTAGGGAGTCTGGAGCAGCCCGAGCAGACGGGCCCTGGGACTCCCCTTTCTGGCCTCTACCCACCCTCAAGTCCCAAACCCCCTTAGGGACGCCAGAATGCAGGGCTGGGAGAGGCTCCAGCTCCCAGATTGTTTTTCAGATAACAAAAATGGCCAGGCCCAGGCAGGCCCTACTCAACATCTGGGCTGGTGGGCAGCCTCATGCTCTCCTAGCGAGGAGGGCGGTGGGGCCACACAGAGGAGCCCCAACCAACGCCACGGCACTTGGCACACCCATGGCGTTGCTAGGAGGGCGGTGGGGCGACCCAGAGGGCGGAGCCCCAACCAACGCCACGGCACTTGGCACACCCATGGCGTTGCTAGGAGGGCGGTGGGGCCACGCAGAGGAGCCCCAACCAACGCCACGGCACTTGGCACACCCATGGCGTTGCTAGGAGGGCGGTGGGGCCACGCAGAGGAGCCCCAACCAACGCCACGGCACTTGGCACACCCATGGCGTTGCTAGGAGGGCGGTGGGGCCACGCAGAGGAGCCCCAACCAACGCCACGGCACTTGGCACACCCATGGCGTTGCTAGGAGGGCGGTGGGGCCACGCAGAGGAGCCCCAACCAACGCCACGGCACTTGGCACACCCATGGCGTTGCTAGGAGGGCGGTGGGGCCACGCAGAGGAGCCCCAACCAACGCCACGGCACTTGGCACACCCATGGCGTTGCTAGGAGGGCGGTGGGGCCACGCAGAGGAGCCCCAACCAACGCCACGGCACTTGGCACACCCATGGCGTTGCTAGGAGGGCGGTGGGGCCACGCAGAGGAGCCCCAACCAACGCCACGGCACTTGGCACACCCATGGCGTTGCTAGGAGGGCGGTGGGGCCACGCAGAGGAGCCCCAACCAACGCCACGGCACTTGGCACACCCATGGCGTTGCTAGGAGGGCGGTGGGGCCACGCAGAGGAGCCCCAACCAACGCCACGGCACTTGGCACACCCATGGCGTTGCTAGGAGGGCGGTGGGGCCACGCAGAGGAGCCCCAACCAACGCCACGGCACTTGGCACACCCATGGCGTTGCTAGGAGGGCGGTGGGGCCACGCAGAGGAGCCCCAACCAACGCCACGGCACTTGGCACACCCATGGCGTTGCTAGGAGGGCGGTGGGGCCACGCAGAGGAGCCCCAACCAACGCCACGGCACTTGGCACACCCATGGCGTTGCTAGGAGGGCGGTGGGGCCACGCAGAGGAGCCCCAACCAACGCCACGGCACTTGGCACACCCATGGCGTTGCTAGGAGGGCGGTGGGGCCACGCAGAGGAGCCCCAACCAACGCCACGGCACTTGGCACACCCCTGGCGTTGCTAGGAGGGCGGTGGGGCCACGCAGAGGAGCCCCAACCAACGCCACGGCACTTGGCACACCCATGGCGTTGCTAGGAGGGCGGTGGGGCCACGCAGAGGAGCCCCGACCAACACCACGGCGCTTGGCATACCCATGGCGTTGCTGTTGAGCAGGAACACTCCGTGAGCTGAGCCGCCATCTTCCAGCGCCAGGTAGAAGGGGTGGGAGCCGTAGAGGTTCGAGTTGGGCTAGGACACGGGAGAGGAGAGGCTTGTGAGCTCCCCCACCCCAGACTTCACCCCTTTCCCAGCCGCCCCTGCTTCACCGTAGGGGCAAGGTCCCGGTTCCAGAGGGTGATCTTGGTCCAGGAGGTGCTGAGTACGAGGGGGCTGAGGTGCTCAGCGAGGCCCACAATGTGCCGGGATGGCAGGGAGGTGGACAGCTGTAGAAACTGGTCGGCAAAGAACAGCGGGGCCACCGTGGTGTTCAGCCTGCAGGACCAAGACCAGGCTGCCTCACACCGGGAACCCCACACCAAAGTGGCCCTTTCAGGAGCGCCGCCACACTGCGGCCCCCAGCTCTGTGACTGCCTGGCCCCAGAGCAGGCAGACGCGCAAGGCCCACTTACTCTCAGCACCCCGGAAAAACGTAAAGAGCCACAGAGAGTGAGGAGCAGGCACAGCTGCCTTCCTGGAAGAGGTAGCTTCACATCTAGGCAAAGGCGCGCTGTGTGGCCCCTGGGCGCTGCGTGGCCCTGCGCACTGGGCGGCCCCTGGGCGTTGCGTGGCCCTGCGCACTGTGTGGCCCCACCCTCAGCATGAAGACAGTCAGGAAACAGGTGCTGGGCAGCTGAGTGAACAGGGGTAGGACAGGGTGAACCCGGGAAGGTGAGTTCCTTCAAGGTTAAGGCAAATGGGGGCTGGCTCCGCGGCACAGTGGAAGTGCGCTGCTTGAGAAGCCAGTCCTACACGTGGCTGCAGTTCGAGCCCCCAGCCAGTCAGCCTGACACACGTGGGCCTGCAGGAGTGCCCAAGACCCCACAGGCTGCAGGACTGCAGTAAGATCTGGCATGGCAGACCCTGCGAGGGTACTCGTTCCACCCCTCACGTGCACGTTCGCTTTATCATAAACAAAAAACAGAGTTAGGAAAAAGATTAAGGCAAATCCATGTTCCAGGAACAGGCAGGAGGTCCGACAGGGAGGGTGGACCATGCCAGGTTCTGGGGTGGACGGCAGGCCAGAGCTGGGGGGTGGTGCTGTCCCGCTGACAGGCTGTACCCTCACAAGGTCCCGGCCCTGCCCCCCCCCATCCAGGTAGGGGCGCAGAGACCAGGTACTCACAGAACGCGGCCGTCTGGCTTCCGGCGCACGATTATCCCGAAGGGGTCCTCCGAGAAATCCACGCTGTAGAGGGGCGTCTGCGCCCGGCTGTGGACCTTTGGGGTCTCCAAGGGCACCTCGTAGCGCTTGTTAGCGGGGTCTCTGATCTGGAAGGGAGGGAGGCAGAGGAGTAAGGAGCCACCCCCACGGGCTACCCCAGCTCAGTTCTGGTCCTAGCGGCCACACGTGGTGAGCGAGCTCAGCCCCTCAGCTCCACGTGGGAGGACGCCTCCCTTGGGTGCCGCTGAAACTCACTACACCCATAAACCTTAGTTTCAGGTGCTGAAGAGCTGTTTTCAGCAAAATTACGGGGCCAGCCAGGAGACGTGGGGGTTAAAGATGCTGGATCCCATGTGGCCCACGGTGCATTTCAAGACCTGGACTCAGTGATCTGAAAAACATGCTGAGCATGAGTGTGAACCCAGAATCCCAAGAGGAGAACAGAGAAGGCACTGTGGTGTGGCCGTCCCCCAGAGGTGACCCTCGGTCCCCGCTCTCTCAGGTGAGTGCACACACTCTGTAGCAAGTTACGAAGAAAACGGCGTTCAGTGTGCCCCAGATATCAGCTGGCACACCTGCTCACTAAACACCACGCTGGTTTCTGGAACCAGATTTCCTGGGCACACTGCCGTTTTAAATGAGAGCTTACCCCTTCCCACACTCTCCCGGTCCAGCCAGCCTGGACTGTGGGCACGTGGCGTGTACATGCCCTGTGGGACATGGACCCAGGACCTCGCTCCTGTGCACTACCGCAGCTGCACGACTGCGGCGCCACCACCAGGTCTACGTCGTTTCCACCTGCAACCCCGTTCTCCTGGGGTCCTGTCCTCACAGGACGAAGGGCAAATACACCCACGAGCTGTGGCTCTCTGGTCACGGAAACCCCTCCACAGACACCCAGGCAAGCACTGGGGCTCTCCCTGGGCATCTGCGTGTGCCTTCCGCCGACATGGTTGTACTGAGCACCTGCTGCAGGCCACACCTCAGCACGGGAGAGGAGGCGTGTACCCCAGACCCAGACCTGCTGCTGGGGGCCAGGAACACTCGCGCCCCGCGATACCTATGGGGCCACGGGCCTGTTGGAGCTCTCACTGTCTGGGGAGCCCCACCCTCCAGGTTGCCCTGCTCACACCTCAAGTCCCAGCAAGGGCGCAGCACTCAACAGTGCAATGGGCACCCCTGGCCAGGGGCCCGCTGCCCACCCTGCCCACCGTGAAGTGGAGGCGGCTGTCAGTCTCCATGAGCACGTCCAGCCGTAAGGTCAGGATGTCCTTCGGGAAGAAGGTGGGGTAGGCACGGGTCAGGGGGGCTGT